AAGAAACTTCTGCTTGGTTTCTTGCTTCTCAGAGGACACTTTTCCCTTCTTGGCATGGGAGGGCTTCAGATGATGGGGTTGGACTTGCACCCCGAGGAGAGAGCTGGTGATAATGGTGGTGGAGGTGATTATGGAGGACAAGACTCGGTGTTCCTCCACTGCATGGTGGAGGCAGCTGCTTTGCTGATCTCGAAATCACAGGTTCTGAAGGTGGAAGAGACCTTAGAGATGGTCAGGTGCAATCCTACAACTTCACGGATGAGGAAACAGAAGCTTATGCAAGTCATTTTGCTTCTCTGTGACCGTTTCCTCATCTGTAAAATGGGGACGGTAACATCTCCTTTGCAGAGCTGGTGTGAGGACTTGCTGTATGCAGTGGGCCCAGCATAGGACTTGCTTACAAGCCAATCAGGTGCTCAGCAAATTTAATTCCCTTAACTCTGTGCACACCCCCCTGCTAGATTTCTCTTACTGAATTGAGGTGATAGGGAGTTTTCTGGGGGGATTTCTAATATAACTTGTGTGTGTGTGCCCGCACGTGTGTAAATGTGTAATAAAGAGCTTTAGTACTAGAAACAGAAAACCCAAATTTGAATCGTTGCCATTACTATTGGGAATAAAAACCCAAACTTAGGCAAGTCACAGAACTTCTTGGGAACTCAGCCTCCTCATCTGTAACCCGGGAATGTCTGTTCTCTGACTAGACATTCTGTTCTCCTAGGACTGGTACAAAGTTTAAGTAGAATCTTTACACTAAATGTGTACAAAATGCCCAACAAGTGGCAGGCACCATCCCTCCCTCTTCTCTGTGTTGTCTCCAGTATGCCCCACAGTGGATTTTCTGCAAGAGGAATGAGTTCCTAGGGAATGAGTGATGAGTGGGAGTCTGAATTGGAGTTCAATCTGGTCCTTTGAGTGAATCTCAATATGCAAAGGCCATGCATTGGCCTAATGGATTCCTAGCTGCAGGTTTTCTCACCCCTCCTCTTCCCTCTCCCTTGATTTGTGTGAAAGCTGGTCCTGCTCTCCTATTTTTTAGTTCTGGCAATGATCCATATAACTAAGAGTGAGAAGCTTCTGAATTGGCTGGAGATAATTTCAGACTTATTGTGTAAGAATCTGATCCTGGTTCATGAGAACCAAGGGTTGAATCCCCTCACACTGGAGATGAGCCTCTGGTTTATTTGCAGAAAAAAGAGGAATTTAATCTGATGCAGGTGAGGAGGTTCTTTTTAAACACAGCCATGGTAATTGCATCTTTCTCATGTACAGTTAATCACATCTTTTAATATTTTTTCCTGTAATTGATTTTGTTCTTATGCCTTCTAGACATCCTTGGTAAATCCATCTCTTCTTTCCTATTAACATGTTCATTAATCCTCAAACATTTATTGTGCTTTATTCATCAGGTTAGAGAATTAACAAAAGTTGGGATTTTGAGCAATTAGAGTTACAGGCAGGTCAGAATCATGAACTATAGAATTTCAGTCTGCTGATGGCTTCATTGCCCAGTCTGAGTTTTGAAAATGAGGAAGCTGGGAGTGAAGGGCAACTCGAGTTCCGTTTTCTTGCTGGCTATTGGAGCTCTCGGCCAGCCCCTGGGGCAACGGTGGTATTGGTGGTACATTTTTGCTGGCTTCAAACATGTTTGTCTTAGGATACATGTTCCTGAGAGTAATCATCTCAGGGTCCACGTTAGGGTCTAGAATTCAAAAGCAATTATGTATTTAAAAATCTGGTTATCTCATCAAGCCTTCTTGAGATTCTAATGCTTAGTTTCTTCACATGTAAAATGGAAATGTTAATAATAACATTAGTAATTATAATGAGAGTTCTCATTTATTAAATATTTACTGTGAGCTAGAGTCTGAGCTCAGCATTTCCCATGAATTATCTCATTTGATCCTCATATGAACTCAAAGAGAGAGGTGTGAATTCTGTCCCTGCTCCGCAGATGAGAACATTGGGGTGCAGAGAGGGTAACTAGCTTACCCATGGACACATGGATAGTGAGTGGTGAGCCAGAGTGGCCATAGCGTAATAGGACAGGCTCTGCATTGGCCTTGGAGCCATGGATGCCAGCCACGATTATGCACCAATTCTGTGACCTTGGAAGTCATCCAACCTCTCTGGGTTTCAGGGTTTTATTGTTGTTTGTTTGGAAAACACGGATTACTTAATTCCTCTCTATCTCTAACATTCTGGAATACTGAGAAATTATATTTAAAATAAAAAGGACTGAAAAGAAGGATCTCTCGTGCGGAATGCTCCCACTGGCCTTGATTTCTCTCCATGACTCCTCTGTGCAGGAAAGTCCTTACCAGGCTCTGAGCAGTTCTCAGCCATCTCACACCCCGAGCCCCTTAAACACTGCCCTCAATTTTTCAGTTTCTTCTCATGCATCCTGAAGCCCAGACGGCATGTAAAAACCAGACCCAGAACATTAATTCCGCTTCTTGATATTGAGGAGTGTATCAGTTTTCTGTAATTCCTTGTTGCAGAGTGAGCATACATTATAGAGTTCAAGTGTTTTGAAAATAAGCTATGAAGAATTATTATCTGTGGAAAGAGCTGGCAGTTTGTCAACTTTCAGTGGCTGAGTGGCTGAATGTACTCTGTGTGGTGTGGGCTGTCAGTGCTGGTCTCAGAGAGGAACGGGCAGGGGAGGAGGGGACCCAGCGGGGAGTGCCCCCCAGCCTCTCAGAGAGAAAAGTAATTTAGTTTTGGATTTGCAAAAGGATTTTCACAAGAACTTGAAGAAAGCTATGTAAATTGTGACACAGAGGTCTCAGTTTACATCAAGATGCAAAATAAAAACAAAGGAAACCATGAAAACTTTGGTACAACACAACTCAATCACACTGTCTCTATCTCGTCCAGCCCAAGATCTTATTTACTTGCATCTACACCAGCAAATCTCAGCATCACTTGGCACTTGATAAATTTACCACTTTGTTTCAATAATTTAGAAATTCATATTTCAGTTATGACTGTTCATGGCTTTTTGGTAGCTACAATTCTTTGTAAAACAAAACCTCCCTTTTTCTATTGGTTAATTAATCTTTCACAGTGGTCTCTGCTTTGACAATTGTCTTTGTTTCCCCCTCTCTTTTTCTTCCTCTCTTCCTGTCTCTCTCACCATTGCCTTTTACCTTCCCTTATATATAAAAGAAATTTTGGAAGAGATTGTTCAGTGACTACCACGGTCCCAGGTTAGGTGAAAACACTTTATCTTGGCAAGTGGGATCAGAACCATGGACAGCACCTGCCCAGCACAGGCTTCTCCAGGGTTCGTTCCTTCCTTCCTTCCTTCCTTCCTTCCTTCCTTCCTTCCTTCCTTCCTTCTTCCTTCCTTCCTTCCTTTCTTTCTTTTTTTTTTTTTTAAAAAAACAACAACAACTAACCAACCAACCAAACAAACAAGCAAAAACAAAACAAAACAGTATCATCTTAGGGTAGGATTGAAATATGTAGAAAAAAATATATATTCATTTAGAAACCACAGAGCTAAAAGTGGACTACTCTGTCTCCTGTTGTCCTGGGAAATATAACGTTTTTATTTTGGCCATAGCCAAAATTTATTGCTAGCTTTGAGCAAGGAGGGAGGATGTAATGCCTGGTGAGATTGAAAAAGAAGAAAAAGCCAGAGTTGACTTTGATCCGAGGTTATGAGACTGGAGTTGGGGCTGTGTATTCCTTAGTGGAGAGCAGCCAGTGGTTTTTCTGTGGGTCTTGGTCAGCCTGCCTAGGAGACAAGTGAGCATTTATAGTAGTAATGGGTAGGAAACTGGTATACATTTTGTTCTCATAGGAATTGAGCATCAAATGATATGCAAATGACATGTAAATTGGCTGCCATTCTATTGTTTCCATTAACCCATGTAGTTTACAGAGTGTCACGGAGCTAGGAGAGCAATAATCTAAGTATCAGGAGCCTCACCCAGAAGTAAGGCGGAATCCAGTTGGGTGGAGAACCTTTTTCCAAGTAGCCAAGACTAGGGGAGGTCCTCTGTTGAGGGGCAAAGGCTGAGATGCTTTGCTGCCCAGAGGAACTCGTCCTAGCATGGATGGTAAAGTAGTGAGAGACACAGGGGTATTATGAGGACCATGGGATAGCATAGATTAAAAAACAGTTATTAATTATTTTACTGATATTTTGAATAGGTGGTAAATGCAGAAGATGATGTGATGTTTTCATTGTCATGCAGGATCATTTAACTTTTGGATATTTGACTTTGTCAATCTGTTATTTAATGGTATCTGGGTTTTATGTCATAATTTTTGGCTTTAAGATTATAAAAATTTTAAAATTATAAAAATATGGCTGTATATTTTGTCAAGTGATTTTTAAAAAATACAAGTTCACTGATTTCAGAGAGGAAGGAAGTGGGAGAGAGAGATAGAAACATCAATGATGAGAGAGAATCATTGATCAGCTGCCTCCTGCACACCCTCCACTGGGGATTGAGCCTATAAACTGGGCATGTGCCCTGACCTGGAATTGAACAGTGACCTCCTGGTTCATAGGTGGATGCTCAACCACTGAGCCATGCTGGCTAGGTGTCAAGTGATTTTTTTATAGTTTTATCTTTTTAAATGTTATGAAAATGTCAAGTAAGTCTCTCTCTCTTTTTCCTGTCTCCAAGCCATCCAGTGTTCCTATCCAAAGTATGATGTTAACTGTGGATATTTTATAAATGTCCTTTATAATGTTGAGGAAATTACCTTCTATTCCTAGTTTGTTGAAGCTTTTACATGAAAGACTGTCTTTTATGATAAAAGTGCCTTTTTTGGTATATGTTGAGAGAATGTGTTTTTTTTTATTCTATTGATATGGTTTATTACATTCATTGATTTTCAGATGTTAAAATATCCTGTTTGTCTCTCTGCTATATTTTAACCTTATTATAACACATTTTGTTATACTCTGTGTTTCCCCACTGGACTATGAGCCTGAAGAAGGTAGAGACCGCATCTTACAATAGGTTATTGACTTTCAGGAGGAAGACCTTTGTGGACCCTGAAATATCTAATACCCCTATCCCACCCTTGCAAAATACCACTTGAAAGAAAAGGAGAGAAAAATGAAGTTGAATCAAGGTGTGTATTCTGAGTAGTCACTGGGGCCCAATCACCAGGGAAGTGCCTTTTTCTTATATACCAGGCTTCAAGCAAGTAATTCAAATTTGTGCCTCAGCAAAACAACAAACCACAGACCTTCAGGGTCACTCTTGAGTAGCATAAACATGAAATGCTACATTATCTAAAGCCGTAAACCACTGGTGTTCATCCCTGTGGTACCTGGCATGTAGTAGGAGGACAAAAGAAATGCTTATTCATTTTATTACTAGAGGCCCGGCGCACAAAAATTTGTGCACTCGG